TAGCAATTCTTGGAGAATTCCTGAAAAATTACAAATAGTGAAACCTCTCGAAGGTTCACAAACTTTACATCATTGGACTCAATTAGCTACACCTACATTAGGTAATATTCTATATATTTTAATTGCGTCTTTTGCAGAAATATGATGAAAAATATCGTTGTTAGCTACGATAAATGTTTTATTTATTACGCTGTTATCTTGAGAACTTCATTGAAAAATAAAACAACTACAAAATGTGAATATAAAAATATTTATTTATAACCAGACTATTTTTATTTTTTAGGTGGTCTTTTAGAAGAACGGCCAGGAGTAAAAACACGAGGAGGTCGAGGCCTGGAGGATTTAGGCCTAGTTACTTTTACTTTAAGCGATCTTGAAGAAGATGAAGAGTACACCAATCCCGGTAAACTTTTTCAAGATACGGGTTCCGTATATACGTTCACCAATAGTACCGTTCTACATCCTGATGATCACACAAGTGTTACACCAAGCGTTGTGGGTAGTCGAGTCGCAACGGCACCTAGTAGTGCTTTAAATTCGGGTATGAGTACTCCAAGAACGTTAAGCAGAAGAAATTCAACGTCAACATTTTCAACAACCCTCGGACTTGCAAAGATGTTAAATGAAAGAGGTACCTTTTCGACATTGAAAATACATTATCTAATTTATCATTTATTAGCAATAATAAATAGTACTATGCTTTTTATTAGAATTTAATTCAATTATTAGAAAAAATCCTTAGTAAATGAATCTAATAAAGTAATTTAATTAATATTCAAACAGGTATTAAAGCTGTGACGCCTTCTTCTTCGTTAACTCCGAGTGAAGACAGGAATTATACACCTACAGCAACACCTTGTAATAGTCCTGATGCTAGTCCTCCGGAAAGTCGATCTAGTTCACCAACTCCAGAAAGTGGACTTTCTTTAGGATTATTATCCACTGGTGCTGAATTATTAAAAAGAACATTCGGCGGAGAAACTGAGGTATGTAAAAACATTTATAAATAATCATAATTATATTAAATTTAATTTGATAATGAAGTAACAAAATGTTCACATTATAATATAAAATAATACTTAAAAAATAAAAATTTTATAAAATACAATGGCATTTTTAAATTTTGATGAAATTTGACAAAAAAAGAGCATTGTAAAACTTTCACAACATATTTTTTAGCTGATATGTATGTTTAAAGAATGAAAATTTAAATTTAAATCTAATTATAAATTAGAAATCTAATTAAATTTTCTAAAAGTTTTAATTATTATCTTTATCTATTAGCTTTTGGTATAATATTATTTATATAATAAATTTGATTTATCCTTAATGTTCTTTGTATTTTTTGACAGACAAAGAGAAAACGACCAATATTATCCAGGTCAGACAAAAAAGCTCTTACCAGTATCCGTCTAGTTGAGAAACTTGAAAGAATAGGTATTGATACTATAATGGCTACAACGATTGGTTCATCTATTTCTCCATTAGTGTTACAAGGTTCTTTATATACCAGACGTACTACTGAAAGCCCTATGGCTCAGTTAACTTTCCTGAAAAGCTCCATGAGTGGAAGTCAAGACAAACTTTCACCTTCTTCCACTGTTAGTGATTCCTCAATAACAAAACGAAACATAACTGACAAAAAGCAAGATGAATCGATATCAAACAGGGAGTGTAGACAAAGAAGAAGTGGTGCTAGGGCTATGAGACGTGATCTTGGACAAGTTACACCTGCAGTCCCTGTTGCAGTTACAAAAGAATCTCCAGCGCAATCCGCTTTGGGTACTATTAGCTCGCTTTTGTTTGGACGAAAAGGTGGATTACTTTGAGAGCATTGTTTGTTGAATACTTGAGTAAATTGTAAAGAAAAGATCAGACGAGTTTTTAACGAAACGTAATAGACAATTGTCGGAGCGATGATAAAATGAATAATTAGTTCCTTTCATCTATATTAAGTTTGCTTTAAAAAATATGTCAACAAAGATTATAAATTAAGTTTTTACATAATTTCTCTATTTTATCTAACGTGTAATTAAAAGAATAAAAAATTTGATTTTCGATCTATTAAAAAAAAGTGAAATTAAATGTCACAGAAGTTTTACGTAACATTATGCTTATAAAATTGTAAATAAATACTTTTACTTTATAATACTATTTTATAGAGAACAAAATATTATATGTACATTTCCATAATGCAAATATAATATTTTGTATCAAACTTGAAAGTCTGATATTAATTAATTTTACTTTCTTTATTAATAATAATATTATTATTAATCACAATAATATTATTGCTATTGAATATTAATATCTATTTATTTATTGTTTTTTTGAAATATTAAGTATGAAATATTATATGAATGATCACTACCATTTAACATTCCTACAATAGTTATTTTTTTCTTATTTTTGCTTTTCTTTTTAAGTTTCATTTTTAATACTAAATTCTTTATTGAATGAACATTGAGAAATTGAAATATCTAAAGTGTAAATGTAAAATTAAATATTTTTTGCTTGCATATAAAAATGTTACAAGCAATCTAAAATATTCCTAAAATTACAGTATCATGTTCAATTATACAATATTTAATTAAAAAAATATTTAAATTTTTATTAGCATGATGTTTAAACGATCATTTTATCAACCCTCCGACATTTTCTAATAATAAAAACAATCGATGACTTCTGTATTTTAATTTTATGAAGCAGCTATTTTTTTAAATGATTTGTTGTACATAGTTAATTCATATGTGAAACAGAGAAATATTATGTAGAATTATATGACAAAAACAAAATTAAAATTTGCAAATGATTATTTTTAACGTTCATTGGTAAATAATTATCAATTTAGAGACGCGTGCGAAAAGAATAATTTGGAATTAATTTATACATATATTAAAAAATCAAATGGGTAATATATAGGGAAATATATTATGTGAACTAATTTGCGTTGTATAGAGAATAATGCAAGATAGTAGCTGATACTTAAAAATGACTTAGAACGTTGCAATCAAGTAATATGAAATGTTACATTACTCCACAATTTTTATCAGTAATGACATTTCTTGTTACCATTGAGATAGGCGAAAGAAACTTTTTTTTAATATGAAATCATTATTTTTAATATTGTAAAAATTTGACTTAAGCGAAGCAATTTCGATTCAACATAATTTTTAATTGCTTCACTGAAGTCACGCTAC